TTCTTTCTTTCTTTCTCCTTGTCTTTCCTCCTCTCTCTTCTTGGTGCCCTGCAGCTCTTTTGCTGTGCCCACTTCCTGTCTCCTGGCCCTTTTTCGGCACAGGGGTCCTGGGGTCCCGGTTGCTCTGTGCCCACGGTACGTTACTCTTCTTTCATTGTACTGTTGGTTTGAGTGCTGCCTCCCTTCTCTGCCGCCTCTTTTTCTTTCTCCTCTGTCTGCGTTACAGAAGGCACAGACGCTCCTAAACAAAACAGGAAGGCAAAGGGGAAAAACCAGCATGGCTGAATGGCCAGGCCATTTGAGTCAAACGGGTATCCTTCTGACTATGGGGATCCAACCCTAGTGAAGCCAGCAGGAAGGAGCCTGGATGTGAGCGGGCAACGTGTAAGATGGGAATTGGGGGGGCTAAGATGGAATTTGAAGAGCAGATAGCTAAAGGGGGATTAGAAACAAAGAAAAAGACATTTTGAAAGTCGATCAGAAGCCGAAAAGCAGCAAGAGACTCATTAGGTTGGCAGGACCATCGGGGAGCAGAGAGAGCATGTGTGGAGGGTACGGGTAGGGTTCTGCCACCTGTACTCATGCTCAGTAGAGCCACCATACGCAAGTAGCCTTTCTGCCAGCTGTGGGACCAGCCCTGGAGTATAGTGCTACTCACAGTGAGCAAGGGTGGCTGAATCGGTCCCCAAACAATTCCGTTATCTGAGTGTCTGCCACAGCGGGTGTTGGAGAGACACCCACCCAGCCCTCTGACTCTCCGGTAATATAAGAATGAGGTGGCAAAAGAGGAGGTGCTGGAACACGTGAATAAATTAAAGAGCAACAAGCCATCCAGAGCCCAGGTACAGCCAAGAGTTACGAAAGGGCTGAGCTGCCAACTATAATCTGTGATCTCGCATTAAAATCCGCTCCTACAGCAGAAGAACAGAGGGCAGCAACTGTTGTACTTAGCTTTAAAAAAGACACTGGGAACTGCGGCCCAGCAAGCCTCACTTCAGTTGGGGAAACGGGCTGAAATATTAATTAAAAAGAGAACTATAAACCACCTGCGTGATCAAACCAGCACAGCTTCCAAAAAGAAAAATCATGCCTCATCACTCTCTTAGAACCCTTTGATCACGTCAACAAAATAGTGGATAAAGGAGAACTGGGTGGCATAATTTATTTGCACTTTCAAAAAACCCTTGACATGGTCCTTCACTGGAGATAGCAAGTAAGGAACAAATGTTGACTTAAGTGGTAGTGAGACAGGGCCTCAGTGTTGAAATAGGTAAAGTAATGCACGCAGAAGGGAATAATATGAACTATTCCAGTGCCTTACTCAGCTCTAAATGTGACCATTCTGGAAAGATACCTGGGCATCTTTGCAGTCAGCTCAGTGAAGACCCCTGCTCAAGCTGTCACTGTGGTCAGGAAACCAAATCAAGTGTGAAGATGCAAGAGGAATGGAGTGGAGAATAACCCTGACAGTATTATCTACTGCTGTTCTAGATCATGAATGAGCCACATTCACTTGGCATCCTGGGATCAGTTCTGGTCACTGTGTCTCAAAAAGAGCAGAGCTCTGGAGCCGAGCAGTGGAGATTATTGAGGGCGTGGAGAGATTTCCTTATGAGATGAGAGAGAAAAGATGGGGTGGGGGAGCGGTTTTGTTTAGAAAGGAGGTGGGTCTGAGAAAGGAGAATACAATAATGACTGGGAGGGAGATGGTAGACCAGGGACTTCTCTTCACCCTTTCTTGTAATGCTAGAATAAGGGGATATTCAAGAACATAGTAAGGCAATACATTTGAATCTGATAAAAGGAAACCCTTTACACACAGCATAATTAGTGTGTGAAACCCACAGGCACAAGAGATGATTGAGACACAGGGCTACTGGGTTCAGAAAAGGATTAGACGTGTGTCTGGTTAAGGATACCCTCTGCTTATGTTGGGGAGCACCAAGAGATCTTTTAGAAAGGATGTAAAGCTCCATGCTTCAGGCAATAAACTAACCCCTAGCTGACCAGAACAGAAAGAAACTTCCCCTGGGGGCAGGTTATTCCATGATTACCTACTAAGGAGCTTCTTAGAACTTCTTCTGAAGCAGCTAGAGCTGGTCAGTGCCAGATCCAGGATCCTAGGCTAGATCTGGCCTGACAATCCCTGTATTCCTAGCTCTGCTCTGTCTCTGCCAACCATTTCCTTCCCCAGCCTGGCACTCTCCCCCTTTCCTGTCCTGCTCACTACTTGCCCATTCTTCCTCTTTCTCCATGTCTGCTCTCAATCCCTGTCCCATCTCCCAGCTTTTGCTTTCCCTCCATGTCTGCTCTGCCCCTCCCAATCCCACCCTGCCCACTGCCCCTCATACCACCCCTTCTATACAGATCTAGACAGTGCTTGTGTTTCTTATGTGAAAGGCTCTTACACACATTTCCTGCATTTTAGATTAAATCAGAACTTTGATAAGACTCAGCTTGTTTCTTCCACGGCTTCGTCAGACAGACCTAGTGATGGCACTTCCCCGCACCCTGGTAGGTACCAGCTCTGCAGGCCGGAGCGGGGAGCGAGTGGCAGGGGACATGCTTCTGCTCCAACCAAGCCACCACAAACAATGCTGGCAGTTCTCTGGAAGTTCCATGTACAATAGTAGAGCTCATGCACTTTCCCAGAAGCTTTGATACAATAGGGGATGCAGCCATGTCTCGGGGGAGGGGCGTGTTCCCAGGGCCTGTAATATAGCAGAGGGGATGGGGCCGGGTCTCAGTGCTGGGGGTTCCCAGGGGCTGGGATATAGCAGTGGGGGTGGGGCCTGGTCTCAGTGCTGCGGGTTCCCGGGGGCTGGGATACAGCAGTGGGGGTGGGGCTGAGTCTCAGTGCTGGGGGTTCCCGGGGGCTGGGATACAGCAGAGGGGGATGGGGCCGGAGGTTCCCGGGGGCTGGGATACAGCAGAGGGGATGGGGCCGGAGGTTCCCGGGGGCTGGGATACAGCAGAGGGGATGGGGCCAGAGGTTCCTGGGGGCTGGGATACAGCAGAGGGGATGGTGCCGGGTCTCAGTGCTGGGAGTTCTTAGGGGCTGTCTTAGTGCTGCTTATGCTGTTCCATCCCTCTGATGCTGGCTCATAGCAAGTCTCCTTGGTGTTTATCTTGCAGTGACAGTGAATGGGTCTGACTCTGCCTATCGCTTGCCCGGCCGTAGCATCGCTGTGTGTTTCAGCCCTCCATGTTTTTCCATGTGCTGTTCTGCTGCTCCCACCAATGCCTCCGCTGTTGCTGTCTCTGAGAGCAGCCCCACGCATGCCCCCAACAGGACAGGTAAGTACCAGCCCACCTGGGACATGCCAAGACTTGGAGCGAGCATCTGCTCTGGAGGGTGACTTTGCCCAGGCCCAGCACTGCTTCCTGCTTCTGCACCTTCTGAAGGGACGTGTGCCCCCTGTCTCTGAACTTTGTCTCCCCTCGATGCTGGGTGCTTTGAGGAGCTGATACCCCCATGTCTGGCCCCCAGCAGCCTGTGACGGCTGGAAGTGATGGGTCACACACAGTAATGTTCATGCACACGCTATAAGTCACCCTGGGTGATTGAAACCTCTCTGGGGACAGCAAACGCTCTGCCTGGGACATATAGCCCAGATGCTACCTGCAGTCTCTCCATGGTGTTGGGGGAGGATTTAGAGAGAGTCTGTGCCCTGAGCTCCAGCCTCATTCCTGCTGGTCAAGTCCCCCCAAGATGGAGCAGCGTGTGTGTTTCCCCACCAGCCGTGCTAGCTGCAGCTGTCACAGAGACTGAGCACTCCCCACATCTGTTATAGCTCCTGGGTCTGTGCTGTTACAAGTTCAGGCTTGCTAGGCCGTCATCCAGCTATGATTGGCCCATCCGGTAGCTATACGGGCAATGGTTCTAGAAGCTGGCTTGCTCCCTTCCGCCTTGTCTGGTATCACAGCATGAATGGAACCTGAGATGGCCACTACAGATCCCACGGCAGCTCCAGGAGCAGAGGTCTCTGTGCGATAGTGTTGTTCATTGACCCAAGCTGCACCCGCCCCGACTGCAGAGCTTCTCTCCCACGTGGGGAATCTGGACTCTTCTTGCCAGAGGCTTCCCCTCACCTCCGTTCCCTCAGCAGATCCCAAACTCTCATTGGCTTCCCTTTCCGTCAATGGCTCTGGAGTTTCACTCCAGGGATGGGTTACCTGGAGAAGGGGGTATAAATTGGGTAGCAAGAGGAGCGATGGGACAGATGAACAGAAGACGGGTGCTCTCCGTCTGCCTCCTGTAACAAGCTGCTGCCTTCCTCAGAGATGGCCTGATGGTGCTTCTGCTTGGAGAAGCACCTGCCTTGCTTTGTCTCTGTCTCTCCCCTCTCTGACTCTGATCCCTCTTTTCCCTTCCTCCCCAGACCAGATCCACACCTCCCTCCTGCCAGGGATGAGTATCAAAGCCAAATCAAGGGGTGTGACGGGGAAGGTGACCTCTCACGCCAAGTGGCCAAAGACCCCGGAGCGGTCGCAGGGCTTCGGCAGCCCCAACGCCAGCCCCTCCTCCCCCTTCACCCACATTCAGAGCAAATCCAAATACATCTCCAGCCTCTCGTTGTCACGAAACAGCTTCCCGCTGGGGCAGACCCGGCAGCAGCGCAGCATCACCCAGCCTGCCAGCCAGCAGCCCAGCATCACGGGCACTGGGCACGACGGTAAGTGGGCCCCCTCCCCCTCTCCCAGCAGTCTGGTTGGCTAGATCCAAACAGCAGCGTTTGTAACCCGCCCCCCCCCACACACACACACACACTGCGGCCAT